ACCATTCGTTAGGTTCTAGAACACATGCATACTTATCGGCGTCCGACAATGGTGGTCTTCCTTGACTTAAAAGCAGCATTTGACTCTGTTGACCTAGAGGTTCTGTGACAGTGTCTGTCATTGAAAGGCGTACCTCAGAAGTACATAAACCTTGTGAAGGCTCTTTACTCGAACACTACTAGTCCAGTCAGAGATTATGGCGAACTGTCATCTGCTTTTGCAACCTCAAGTGGGGTCCGTCAAGGCTGTCCACTTTCTCCATTTTTGTTCAACTTCATCATAGATCTACTGATGGAAATAACGCTCTCATCGACTGAATTCTCGGGCATTGATCTCCTTCCAGAAGGTTCACTTATCGACTTAGAATACGCAGATGACATAGTCCTGTTTGGTGAAGACGCTGATGAAATGCAGTCTTTTGGTAGCACTGAGCAACAATGCCAGAATGTTTGGGATGCGCTTTTCTCCCTCTAAATGCAAGTTGTTCCTTCAGGACTGGTCTGCGTCAACACCTGAACTAAGGATAGGGAGTGAAGTAGTCGAACGCGTTGACAACTTCACTTATCTTGGAAGTCTGATCAGCACTAATGGGTTGGTGTCTGACGAAATCTCAGCACGGATTCGAAAAGCTTGTGTGCCAACTTACGTCATCTATGGAGAAGGCGAGATATCCGTTTATCAATTAAGGGACGAGTATACTGCGCGGCAGTTCATTCCGTTCTTATATACGGCTGTGAAACATGGCCTTTAAAAGTAGAAGATACTCGTAAGCTACAAGTATTTGACCACAGATGCCTTAGAAATATTGCTGGTATCTGCTGGGATTACGGGGTAAGTAATAGTGAGGTTAGACACAGGGTATTAGGGAATGATGGTAAATCAGTTGATGAGGTTGTGAATCTTGATCGACAGAGATGGTTATGCCATGTGTCATGTATGCCTGAACACCGATTACCACGACGCGCATTGCTGACTAGTGTTGGGGATGGTTGGATGAAAGTTAGGGGCGGCCAAACCAAAACGTGGCATCAGTGCTTGAAGTTACCAACTTCTGGTCTTAGCCATGTTGGTAGATGCAGACTTCCTGGTTGAGGTTCGCGTGACTATCGCAACCAATGGTTGGAGACTCTTGGTGATATGGCTCAGAATCGATCACAAATGTGTAAGTGTATACACTCTCTATCTTCCCTTAAACTATGAGATTAAAATTATTTCATATCTTTCTTTCTACCAACTAATTCTTTCTTTTTGTACTATATCCTTACATAAAATCTTTCCTTTATATATTATACCATTGAGTTAACTCATTCTATGAATCCGGTGTTCGGCTTGGTGTGCTAATGAGGTGTGGCAACTTGGACCGATGCATGTATGTGCCTGATCCTACTTTGTAACTGACTGATTGTTCCATAAATGATACTTATGAATCAAATGGAAAAATGTATCAATCATTCTCCTTTTGTGAATAAAATTTGTCTACCATTTTAAATATTTAGAAACTGCTAATACTTGATAATCAGATTATAATAATGAATACGTCGATAAGTTAATATTTCCACTGGTCACGGTTTTTTCACTAGATATCCGAGAATTACCTCTCGAAGTTAGTCACTAGTGAGCACATGATTAATTATCAGTTTAGGATTGTGGGGGTTGTTCAGTTTTTATTGATTTAAAATAATATTATGTGCACACTAGTGACTAGCTTCGAGAGGCAGTTCTCTTAGTAAAAGCAGTGACCAGTGGACTTCAACCGTGTCGGATGTGCGGCAGTTATCCATAGAAGTTAATATTTTTAGTAAAACTCAAATTTTTCTGGTTAAATAACTTGCAAAATAGACTTTACTAACAAAATTATTCCTTGGTTGGATTGTAGGGATTGAAGACAAAAAACTTAATTGTCAGCTGTGTACCCAGAATGTCTACTATAAACTAGTTTCTCCACTAATTGAATTACTTAATTTGAAGTTTCAATAAGCAAAATGTGGACGTCATTACGTCACTATGATCGCTAACTGTTCACCTTTACTAGAGACCGTACAGATTAATAGCAAATTTGCTGAGAATGGATCTTTTCACTAAATATCGTGTTTTATCTGGTTTTTACCATATTTTTAAGTGATCTGCAAGTTTTCGTTTCAATTTTATGAGGTTATGTGAGCGTCTAGTTTTAATATCCTTTCCAATGCCTCTCAATTTTGCATAGTTCTTCATGGTTTTTACACCACAAACCCCCTGCCTCTACATGCGATTTACTTAGTGTGACTCAATGATGCTTTGCAATGAGTATATGGTTTGTTGATAGACGAATTAACAAGTTGATCATAGCTTTTACTATCTAAAAGAAAATAGATAACTGGGTTTATGACAAGTTATTCTGGTATCCAAGTATGTGATTAGATGGATGAATGTGAGATATGTGACTAAATAGTAACTGTTGTCTTTATAAGTGTGATTTTTCACTTCAGATCGCAATTACTGGCATATAATAATCAAATCCGGTTCTCAAAGAAGTCGATCAATGAATAAGTTTTCATGGTTCTTCTCAAAATTAAGGATTAAACAGAGATTAACAAACATGATAATTCACAAATGAATATTTATTTGATACGAGGATAAACTTTCCGAGTTTCCTGTCTCCTAATATAATTGTCTGATACGCCTTTTCCCAAGTATAAACATGCCTTTCGTTGAGAAAATCTGGCTCAATCTAATTGACTACTTATTAGTAGTTCAAAGGATTAATTAAAATTATTTTCAATATTCACTTTCTGGAAATAATTTATTTCAATAATTTTGTGAAGAAAATTTTTTGTTTAAAAATAGTTACTATCACAATTTGACATGAGAAAACATGGAGCCTTAGAGGGAAAATCACCAGGGACTTATAACGACTGTGGGAATAACACTGTACGTGGTTTATAGGGTTTATATTTTTATCTTCAGTCAAACAAACTAGATCTCGAATTCCGATACTTATTTGAATTTAGGACTGCAATCTATCCGTTTATTTTTGGAAGTCATAAACATTAATGGGAGGATTTAAGCAACTACTACAATATGAACTAAACTTCTGCCCACCGCACAGTAACTAATTAAAAAATGCGATGATGTTTGATGCGAATGATACTTGCTTTGAGTCCCGGAGAATGGGTCAACCCTTGGACCCAGGTATGTTCGTCTGTCGAAACGCGTGTCCACTATTAGTCATCATTCAACACTGCTCCGAAATCCACTATTTGTATTTTATAATCTCCTGTCAAATTATATAGAAAAGACTAAATCTATATTTTTTATGTTTTGTCTTTAATGTTTGTCTAAATGTTAGTTTTTGTATTTCAATATTTATAAATCTTCTGACTGAACGCTTGAGTTAGCTCTTTTAAGATCTCCAGATAAAACCCGTCTAACTTTACACGACAAGTTGAACGCGAGAGAAAAGGAGCGAAAAATGGGAAAGAAAGCTTTATTCTATGGTTCCTTTATGAACAGAAAATTTAGGGTATTTATAGAATTTCAGATAGCATTGGGTTTCTGGAATGTTCTACAATTCTACTAAACATGGTAACAGGATATATAATCATTTGATAAGAACTGCGACCCATGGCTCTTTATTTTTTATTCAATGCCGATTGGTTAAAATGTTTCTTAGGGATTTTAGGGTCCCTCTGAGCTTTTTTCGAGGAATATTCTGGATTTCGCCAACAAACATTCTAAAGTTTGAAAAATGAAGATACTTTGGACGTATTTATTATTGTGGTTTGTGTGATCATCTTATGACATATATAATTAAATAATTCGTTTCTTGTACTTTCAATTAAATGCTACATGTTAAGCTAGAAATATACGCAAATATAGTAAAATAATGTGTTTTTTTGTGTACTCCTCAGTATATTATGTAAATCGAGCAAATATGTTCTTTAAATAAATAGAAATATATGAATGAGAATGGTTCGTCAAATAAAAAAATTTGTCAGGGATAATTCTCTTAGTCAGGGCAGTTCCTCTTGCTTTTATGAACAGTGTGAAAAGAAAGCTTTTATTCTGATTTATTCCTGAAAACATGTCAAGTCACTGTGTTGCTCCTGTCGAAGTCTACAATCAAGGAGTCGTAACAACAGACATATCCCAGTTTTATACATTTTTCTTGCGCATCTAAGCAGCTTGTCGTAAACTGATCACCTCGGAATTTTCACACTTAGTTCAAGAGTCAGTAATTAATGCATGTAATAGAAAACCTTAAGTTGACATGACCAAACCAATGAATCCGGTAATTTATGATAGTAACGCTAACTGTATTATAGTGGCTGTGGGCGTGTATACATTGCCACCGGATGTCAGATACCGTTTGAAGACAATGATGGTAGGAATTAGAAAGTTGTCTAACATCCTTACTAGGGTTGATAAATGTCAGAGCTAAAAAATCCTCATCGAAGTATTGTTGACTCGATCTTTTACAATTCGACTGAAATCACTATAGTATCAGAGATAGTTGAGACCAAGATAGAATGCTCTAACTTTCTTTGTATGCAGTGTGAATGCAGGGATTGTCTCTCACCAGTTTTTTTTAAAGTACTTTGCAGTTAGATGTCATGCAGACAAATCCAATGTTCATAAATTAGTATACATCAGTTTCGTACTTGATTGAAATGGAAGCTACATGCAATCCTCTCAAATTAGTTTGTTTAAACCGAGACTTTCTATAGTCACCAAGAGCCAAAACTATGTTTGGCGAAATCGTGTCATAATCAGAGTGTAAATAAGAACACTAAAAAAGTGACAGTCTTATAAATATCCACATCAGTGTTAGTTGATCACTATGTAGTCAATCTAAGTTCAAACTTGAGTCGCAAGTTGAAAACGCCGTGCATTATACTAGCCATGAGTTTTATCGAAAGTTGATATTCAAATCTTCATGAGACGATCAGATTTGTCTGACACGTTAACTACAAGTTGCATAACTTAATTGCACTTCACGATTGAGTCATTACCAATTTCATTTTGATTTCAATCATTATGACATACCTTTGTTCATTATCGATCAATCTGAACTCTTGTAAACTTTAAGCTACATCTCCTTTACTCAGTTTTTTTTTCGGATTTAATGGGTTATATGATAAACAAAATTTTACAAATAACAAATTTTATTTTGTCTATAAGTAAAATAGTATATCAAAAAATATAATCTCAACATGGGCAACTCTAAAAATTGAACTAAAATAAATTGATTTATCTAAAGAGTAAACTAATGTACATGTATAAATATAAAATATAAATAGGGTTTTAATGGGTGTAGTTCTTTTGTGCTTTCATTTAAAAAAAAAAGGAAGTAATCAATGAATAATAAAATAAAAATGTGGATAAGTAATGAAAAGAAGGTAGTTTCCATGTAAGGAAGTCTTATATCAGTATATCAATAAAAATGAATAGTATAAAAAAATAATATTTTTATCATTATTTTTTAAATTCTAATCTAAATATGGTCTCCACATAATATTCTGTTTAGTTGTTTCATGATGATTTGTAAGCATTTCATTCATTGATATGTTTTCTTTTGATTGTAATTTTGATATGATAGAATTCATTTGTAAAGATGATAATTGAGGTGTATAAGTAGATTCATTAGACATATGTACTGTTCTTAAATGAATAGGATTTGTATGAATAAATGAAGTTGATGAATGATTCATTTCAAAATAACCACTATCATTTTTAATAAACGGTAATTGAATTGGTGTAGATTGATAATTTAATTGATTAAAATTATGTAAATTAGTATTGTTTATATTACGTATAGGTGTAAATGCACTCAGTTCAGAAGGAATTAATAAATTTTGATTTGTAGGATTATAATTTTCTTTATTCCATGATGATGGTGATTGGTGAATAGTTGAATTTGTAATAGATTCATTTGATTTATTAATGGTTATATCATAATGATTATTAGATATATCATGCTGTTTATTAAAAGATTTTAATCTAATTTCATGACACATTTGTTTTAATTTCTCTTTTAATTCTATAGAATAATTAAATTTTAAATAAAATAAAAACAAAACAAAACATATTTCAATGATTATTGGAAAGTTATTCGGGTAATTTCTATACAAATAACTATTTTGTCACAAACTACTTTGCTGGCAATAGTGAGTAGTATGTTTTTCAAACTAATATATATATATAAGTTTATATCAGAATCATCATGAGGATGAATAGCAACTGAAAACAACTGGAAAGGATTGCACAGGACAAAGTTGAATGGAGAAGGCTTGTGGGTGACCTATGCTTCTCTACGAGGCTTAACAGGCGTAAGTGCGTATGGAAGTAAGTTAAATCAAAACTATGTTTAGTAATAAAAACAGCCTAGTTCACTCTTAGATATCGATTAAAATATTCAATAAATACGGAAATCTATTTAGAGAAAACTATCCACATCACCAAAAGTTAGAGTTTATAGACCATAATTCATTCTCTGTAAATGATGTATACATGCATCCTTAAAATAACTCAATTTAGTGTAACTCATCTGCCAAATACAGGTTCATATACATCAAATTTAACATACACTTTTTATGTAAGCAATAACAATATTAACCATCTGGAAAAATTTAAAGTAAATAAAATGAGATTTAAATCTATGACTTAATTATAGAAATTTGAGTAGTTTAACAATTAAACCATATAAGACAATATTATTAGCAATAAACTAACCTGGGTTCTCATTTAATAATACTGCTACATTTTGAAACACTTCATAACACATGCCTAATATATCCACTTTTTCCGTTTTTTGTTGCTCTGATATCTTTATGGAAAGAAATTTTTTGAGAAAAAAATATTGAACAGAGTTAACATAAATGAATGCATGGTGATGATAACATTCAGGAGGTAAATTTTCATTGAAGTAAACAGTAATGAATTCAAGTTTTAAAAACTTTAATAATGATCACAATTGTTATTCAAATCATTTCTATGATCTTCCAAATGTGTTAGATGGAAAAATTTGAGAAAATCAGAATTATTTCAAGTGAATATTCAGTGTTTTGTTTATCATAACATTGATTACTTGGGTATAACTTAATTTATTGTTGTATGTTTTATGGTGAAGTAAAATGCCAATAGACATAATGATTATAATAATACTGTGTCGAAATAAGTAGTATGTAGAACCAGTCAAAATGAAATTCCTGGTAGAAGTTTGGGAAATACGAATCGAAATGAACGGGAATAGAAGGTAATTTTTGTGGCAATCAACGAATTATGAAGTTTGGGACGATTGTTGGAATATTTACAAATGAATTATTTATTGTGTGGTTCCCATATTTTACCACGATATTCTGTAATTTTTTTAATACATTGTTTATCCTCTAATTGGGTTCTAGTTCATTAAAACACTACTAATAATACAAACTAATACAGAGACTCCGATGTCAACAGACACTCGTTTTAATTTCTTTCATCAATGATAAAATAAAACATCAAATCCCCAGATAAATTTATCTCAGGAAAGACAACACCGTTAATGTATATCTTTCTTGATTTTTTGGCGTGACATACTAAAATGTACTTCTGAAAACTAGACTAATGTTAGTGAATAGTTCTTTGAAAAAAGGGAATCGAATAAAATAATTCTGATAAATAACTTATTAATGATGTATAGCATTGAACGCAGTTTTATTGGTGAATTATTACCTACATTCCAACTAGGTTTGATCGTTAGGTTATGAAATATCACCAGATCTATAGACTTATTTTTAAGTTAGTTACTAATGAGCACTTAAAATTACTATTTATGTTTTTGTGCAGGCTTTAACACACATTGAAGAAAATTCCACTTATTAGGTTGCTGATGATGGTTAATGAGAATGCAGAAACTATGATGAAGCGACTATCTATTACTTTCAAGTATAAGATGCTTTAATAATTTGATAATTTCAGTTTCACGCCATGTAATACTTTTACAAAATCATTTCAATAACTTTCTATCAGTTCACGTACATTTCAGTGTGTGAACATTTAATTCGGTTAAGCCCTTTCATTAACTTACTCAATAGAGTCATTCCTACAACAACAACTTAGCTATACCATTGTACATTTATTATTTGGTTGCGCTTTTATTAATATATGTGCTTGGGTATTGCTTATCGCCTACGCACATATTCATTCTGCTAGCTTCATTGTTAGTCGCTTAAATGATTCGATGACGCTTCATTTCCTTATATAATATAATACATAAAACTCGTTAGATAGCATTAAATAATCGATAACTTACATTTAATCCAATCAAATTCATGGCTAATTTATGTAATTCAGACATTTTATTTGCTATACATGCACGACGACTTCTTTCGATGTTTTGCTTTTTAATCTGTATTTAGAAAAATAAAAGTATAAAATAATACTGCAATTATTAATGGTTAGACATTAACACCGTTGGATGCCGGCCCAGTTGTCTGGGCGTTAAGCTTTCGCGCGTGAGACCTCATACCCTGGGTTTGAATGCCATGAGCGGGATCGTGGATGCGCTCTTCTGAAAAGTCCCACAATAGGACGAAGCGGCCGTTCAGTGATTCTAGGTATTTAATCGTGGTCTAACATCAATCGGCTCATGATTCCCATCAATAAAATTATCATTCGATGTAGAATTTAATCCAAGAAATCGTATATAATAATCAAACTATTACCGATTATTTCAGAATATAAGATTGTAAATCAATTCTTTTTAAAAAGTATACCGATATTTGATAAAATAAAGAAATTTAATTGGATTGTTCGATTCTTTACAATATAACTATCATATCATCTTGATATATTGAAGAAAATTATGATCTTTGATGAAAATTATGTACAATTTTCTGAGTTCTTTGATTTTCATGATCAAACCTATAATTTACATTATATTGCAATCTAACAAGCCTAAAAATTTAATTGATTGCATTCCCAATTAATTTGTTATGAACCTTCTGTCTCTGTTTGTTGACAAGTAATAGCAAATAATTAATCTTTTGGAATTTCCTGAGAATGTTAATATAGTATTTAAACATTCTATTATATCACACCGAACAAACTAGGTTGTAGTGGCTAGGACGTCACACCAACTTATTCTAATATTTGATCTTATGGTTTATTCTCTAAACTTGACTTCGCTAATAGTTGGTTTGTAATCTATAGCATTCCTTTTGACATATATTGTGCATGCATCTATCTACCCGCTTATAATTTTACATGAGTTGTAAAAAATGAGACGCTTTCTCATTCATTGAGTCAGTTTATCACCAAACTCCACCGCTCACTTATTAATTGCATCTTACTTTTTATCTGGCGTTTATTATTCGTGGCATGAATTCTCCTTGTATTAAACATATTTGACTTTTATTATCTACTTAGATTTTACATAATCGGTCGACGTTGTAAATATTAAGTAAATAAGGATCAATATTTTGTTAATCTCATGCCATTATTGCAGTCATCTAATGTAATGATCACGGTACCTACACAAGTTACTACCACAGCGAAATATAAGTAGTTCTTAAACTGATCATTACTGTTTTGATCTAATAAGTTTTACATCAAAATATGAAGATGGAATTATTAAATTATTCAACTATAAATTATGAACCTTATTTATCAAGTCATTAATAATAATATTTGGTAAATATTTACAGATACAGCTTAGATAAACATTATAACCATTACAATCTGGGATCTCTGCTTAAAACGTTTTATTGTAGTAATTAATTGGATGATATGATTTCATAATATTTGGACGGAATTTTATAAATCTAAAACTGTATTTCTTGGTGTTATAGTTGAGAGTAGTGGTTAACGTATAAAATCAATTACATGGTTAGGCCGTTGACTTTTTTCGGATGCTTATCACATGTTATCATGTGGATAATGTATGTATACTAAATTGTATAGGTTACTCATATCCATGATGTCAGAATAAACAAGCTAATTATAAGCTATTTAGATAGCACACAGCTTTCTCTTAATTATGTGCGTTCTGGTAATGGTATGATTAAACGATTTTAACGAAATAAATATCGGGGGTTTATAAAAATCTTTTAAACTACGGAAATGAATAATTGAACCATTGCAATACCAACTCATTCGTCTAAATGAAGCTAACTCTCCACAAGGTCTAGATATTCATGTTTGTGTTTCGGAAATGATCGTGATGGTATAATCATGTAATGTATCAAACTATGACAAAATGCCTGACAAGTACTTCAATAGTTTACCACGAATGCTAGTTCATAATTTGAACTACCTTCATGCAGATAGTGAATTTTTAAAAAAAAATGCAACTTAAAAAGTGACATTACAGCGTAGTTGAATGCTCAATCCTGTAGCAGATAATATTTATAATATCCGACTATTAAACACTATAAAAATTACATTCACAACAACTGGATCTTTAAAATGTATCAAAGATAAAATCCTACTTTCCGTTTTTAAACATTAAAGAGATACATATTTAAAATACAATTATTCTTAAACTTCAATTATTCAGAAATGAATTGTTTTAAGCATCATTTTAACCATAACTATCAACTTACACGTCTTGTTTGTTCTCTAAGTTCTGGTGGAATTGTTGATTTTCGACCTCTTCTTGAACAAGTTTTCATATCATTGGATTCTATATTTATTAAGTGAATTTTTTTATTCCCATTATTCTCTATATGATTAACATCCATAGTGTTCATTATTATTTTTATTCAATACAAACTAAATTCTGTATTACATAATCAAATACAATTGACTATCATATTTATAGTATTTTTGAATAAGTCATAACAATTACTCATATCAATATCCAATCAAATTAGATTTCCTTACTCTATTAATAGATGGATATGAGGGGTAGGGGAGGTAATTAGATAACAATATTGCAATCATGTATGAGCATTTTCTTTTTTGTTTCCAAATAAAAGGGATGCTGTAAACAGTTAACTTAATTAACCAATAAAAAATGACCAAAAAAATTATTGTATAATAATGAGGTTTAACTTTAAGTAGTTCAACATTCAATAATTAAATGTTTCTAGCTTATAATGTTAGTTCTTATCAGTAAAGTTACTTTTTGCTTATTATGTGTGATTATCTGTCAAGAAAATTAGTAATGTTATGTGGAGACTTGTAGTATTCATTTTCTGGAAAATTATGAAAATAGGAAGGTTTAAGTAGATAGGTTTATTAATACTGGTGGTGAGGTGGGAGATTATACAATTTCATACTTTATGTCATAAAATGTTCTTAGTTAGACAACCAGTGTATATCATCAACTACTAGACTGTTGCATCGTCCCACTATGAGACTCATCAACAGTAGGAATATACAACTCAAAAATAGGTCAAATTTAAGATATGCAGGTCTCTTAGAGGGTGTTTAACGTTTAGATTATCATTGAATGACGGTTCAGTTGTCCAAAATTTAAACTTTCACAGCGAGTATGGAGATGGTGGGTTTTGTCCCCCAAGGGTTTATGGATGTTCACTGTTGTTGAGTTCCACGCTAGAAAGAAACAGCTTTCTAGTGCTTCCCAAATTTCAATGGTTTTCTAAGACTTCTTTGAAGTAAGCTATAAATTTACTTTGTTGGGCAAGTCTAGACTTATGAACAATTAATGAGCAAATCATTTTAAAATTTATGTTCATAATCAATAGCAGCCTGCAATTGGATTAATGACAGAAGATATGGTTAACAATAAGAAATAATTTCTAGCTTTGTAGAAGTCTTAATTTCTATGCGTATAAGTACATTCAACCGTGTGAATTCATATAGAAAGATTTCTCAATGTGTTTATGTCGTCAAATATCGATATCAGTTGGTTTATTACCGGAAAACACTGAGAGCAGAAGAGCTGTGTAAACTGACGGTGAAACTCCTCAGGAATAAGTATCTAAAATTCATTAGAAGCTGGAGCCGGTACATTCAGATCTTTCAGCAAGCTCTTAACATGTAGATCACTGAGATGCGATCCAATATCTTGCATCGTCTTATCTGTACTCGCTATCACTTTAAGCGGACCGTCGTAATTCGGTTGCAGAGGTGGTTGTACTTTATCTCTTCTAATGAATATGTGAGTGCTTTTATGTAGTTCCTGTGGTATGAATACTCGTCGTTGTTGTGGTCGGGGAGGTGTTATTTTTAAATCGTTCATATGCTTTCTCAAGCGTTGTACGTAGTTGGTTACATCAGTCGAAACACATTTACTCGAAGTGACAAATTCTCCGGGTAACCTTAGAGTAGTTCCGTAAACCAACTCGGCTGGACAACGTCTCATATCTTGTTTAATCGTTGCTCTTAGACCTAACACTACTAAAGGGAGCTTATTGGCCCAATCGTTTTTAACAATGACGGAAGTAAGAGATGCTTTTAATTGCCTATGTAGGCGTTCGACCATTCCGTTTGCCATTGGACCGTAAGATGTCGTTCGAATTCATTTAATACCGAGGAGTTCTGTAAGCTATTGAAAGAGTCGACTTTCGAATTAAACTCCTCTATCAGTTGTGATGATCGCTGGTACGCCGTAGTAAGAAATCCAATTTTCAACTAGTGCTTTGGCTACCGATTCGGCTGAGGTATCTTTTATCGGTACTGCTACCGGCCATCGTGTAAACCTGTCGATGCATGTAAAGATAAAGTTGCATCCATTCAAAACAGGCAGTGGTCCTACAATGTCGATGTGTATATGCTCAGATCTAGTATCTGGATGTGAAAATAGACCCACTGCAGAGCTAATGTGACGATGTACTTTGACTTTTTGAAAATTCATGCATGTATGCGTCCAATTACGTACATCGTGATTCATGTTTGTATATACGAATTGTTCACTGATTAGCTTTATTGTGGCTTTTATTCCTGGATGTGACATATTGTGCATACTTTCAAAAATTTTCTGTCGCAAGGATTCCGGGATAGGTGGTCGCGGTCGGCCTGTCGATGTATCACATATTAATTTCGTGTTACCGAGCCGCACCTCTTCGAGCACTAATGATGTCGTACCATCGAATCTGAGCTTACGTAATTCAATGTCTCTCGCAACTTTGCTAGACCGTTATAATCAATTCCACTTGCAATAAGCGTGTTTATCGTTGCTCTTGACAGTGCGTCAGCCACGTCGTTTTCTTTTCCTTTAATGTATCGTATGTCAGATGTGAAGGAGTGAGTCAGCGAACCAAGCGTAGAGTATTAAATATATATATATATATAGGAAAATGAATTGATCATCGAATCGATTAAGCAGCTAATAATGAAGCTAGCAGAATGAATGTATACGTATGTGGTAAACAACGTTCAAGCATACATATTTCATACAAGCACAACAATAATAAATGTACAATAAGTTGTTATAGTACAGATTACTTGTCCGCTAAATAAGTTAACAAAAGGGCTTAACCAAATTAGATGAGATCAAACTCAATTGAAAGTGAGTTGCTATATTTTATTAAAATTATTAAATGAAATTACGTCATAGTTACAAATATGGTAAAGCAATCTCATTCATATCCAGCAAATAATTCCTCATTCTTTTGTGTACTATAAATTCTCAAAACCAATATGCATTAGAAGTATTAATATTCGATAAGAATAACCTATTTTAGTTTACCGAAACAATTTATGGATTTTTTCCCCACAGAAGTTCAATTTTCACCTAATTTCTAATACGGTTGTACGATTTATAGAGGCTTTTGTCATTTTTAAATACAAGAACCGATTACCACCGTATAATATTGATTTAATAAAGTGTCGTTTGAATCCCGAAAAATCGGAATTATACGTGGGTTTTGTTGAGTATCTTGGTTACAAACAGTGCTTTACAATTAATTAGTCTATTTTTTTAATGGTGATATTAGAATGTATACACTTAAGTAGATATTTCTATCAAGCATTTCTTTATGATTACATATTATCTTCATATATTTAATTATGAGAAAATCCTATTCATAGGTAGTCGGTTACTTCCAAGTATTGGTGAAAACTAATAAGTAACCCGTTTCGTCTTATTATGGGATTCCTCAGAAGTACGCATCCACGATCCCGGCTCATTGTATCCTTATTACTGTTGCGAATGTATGAACATGTATGTTCGGCAAGCCTTACCGCCTATGCATTTATTCATGCTACTAGCCTTACTATTAAACACTTAACTGATTCGAGATTCATTCATTTCACTATATATATATGTCCATGTTATTCATATTCATTACTCACTCGCTCGCTCTCTCTTGCCCTCGCTCTCTCTCGCCCGCTCTCTTGCCTGCCTACCTTTCGGCACAATTATTTCATGCTTGCTTAACGCATCTGTAATTTTGGATATCTGTGTGTGGTACCATAATAAACGTAATTAACACTTCGTATTAGCCTTCTGATTAATATACAGTTGGAGTGTTATTTAGTGACGGTCACCGAGACGAACTGTATACAGAGTTTAAGGAATATATCGAACACCGACAACCACAATATATTTACTAAATTAGTATCTGTTGGACATTTAAAAACAATATGAAAAATTTGTCGTATAGCTACCTTGATCGTTTCATTATTATTTGGTTTAGATATTTTGAATTCACCAGTGATTGTATAACTTCATTACGGAAAAATAGAAAAAACAACCCTAATTTAGATGCATTATGCTTTAAACAAACATGGATTTTTTTAGCTTTAGTAAATCTGAAATCATAAACAAATATTTCATTAATTAACGGTTGTTAAAGCGATGTCAGGTCCTAGTGTCGAACTGATCTAAACCTTATAATCATAATCCCGTAAGGAATAAACTTAACGACTTTAATATATTACAACACTCTCTACAAACCTTTTATATTAATAATAATAATCGTATACTCGTTAGCGTCTAGATTCCGTGACGTAGTTGTCTGAACTCTAGGAAGAAGCAAATTTAGTTATTTTATAATATCAGCAAGACATGCGTTTAATTTTATCAATTATGCCTATCTCATCTTCCATTTTTCTATATAATAAATACCGAAATGCTATTAGTCCATCAAAGAATCTATTTTACTGATTAGCACATGGCAGTTATTACTTTTTGATTAAACAACTTGAACTAAAATTATAACCAAGTTAAGTCTTGACCAATAAATTGATACGGAGTCGTGGATATGTATACTATGACGAATTGACTTCCTATGTACTTCTAATTTTTTAATGGTAGTCTAATTAGTATTAATTCATGATTTAAATCATGAAGATAATTAAAATTGAATTCCACTTATTGTTATATTCAGATTATCGAGAGCAGTCATATTTCGTATATGTATTCTATCCTGTATAGTATTTGTCACTTGAAATTACTTTCATTCTATTTAATATTGTTATTCTGTTTAGTATTTACATCAGTTTTTACAAATACTAGACACATGACTTCCATATAGGTAGTATCTCTATCATTTCTTTTCATCTAATCTTTCATTTAATAAACTGTACACTGATTATAAAGGTGAATCAATAAAAATCTTATCATGTATCATTTATAATACTCTTAAACTTAGACAAACACTTCTAATAAACTTTCATGTGTATTAATTAGATTTTTATAAGAAATATATATTAAATCAATAAGATGATCAACAATGATATAAGTATACTGGTTGATTTTATTGACAAGATAATGAAATTTCCGTTATAATGTATAAAATTGCTACAGATTAGAGTTACGTAATATTTCCTCATTTTTTTT